GGAAATAAAGGCAAGTGCATGTGTATCACAAGTACTTTTGTGAGAGTGAGCATAAGTGGTAATGTTATCCTTTGATGATGATTGGTTAGAAGCTTCCTCAGCCCCATATTTCGCTACTTTCTGCTTCTTCAATAACTTCAGACACTTATGATTCTCACTGATAAAAATCACACTTGCCTCTCCCTTTGCTATCATCATATTTGTCCGATAGCATTCTTTTCCACCTTTTCGACCACCACGACCACAACTATGACCTCCTCCCTATCCACATTCACCAGTCTCTCTCCTCAGGCGGCCTATGATGAGTCTTGTTGAGACAGGTGGCCTATGATGAGTCTTGTTCAGATGTTCGTTTTCACCACAGTTGTAGCACTTGTGAGTCTCCCCCCCCAGACACTTATTATACTTGAGTCCGAGGCAACTAATGCTGATCATGCTCCTGGAAGTCCGCTTGACTCAGAGTGTAGCTTCATGCGTTTCTCTTTCTATATCATCGCAACAATGCCTTCATCCAGTGAAGGGATAGTCTCCTGAGTTAGAAGGACAAATTTCTAATCAAAGACCAGGTTCAGATGGGTCAAAAACTGTTTGGTCCTCATCTGTGTAAAGATCTCCATTTTCTTGCACTCCAAATTGCCACAGCTCGAAATCGGTGAGAAGTGATCAAGATCTGCTCACCCTCTCCAAATCTATGACATATTCTTGAATCGATCTATCAAGGTTGTACCTCTGTTTCTTTCATGTTGAATCTAGAACACCCTCATGCGGTTCTTCGTCTCGACATAAATTTTTCTCAGCTTTGCCCATATGTCCCTCACCTTCCGAATGCCATCTACTGAGGATGCAATTGACAAAATCGAGTTGAGTAGCCAGGTGTAGATTAAGGCGTGTGTGGTTCTTTACTTATCTCCCTCAACACTATCACTCTTTTTGGTTTGTCTCCGATCAGATCCCTCTAGTCTCTTCTCTACTAGAGCAACCTCGACCCGACGCAACCAACTTAGATATGTGGTCAGTCCATCAAGCTTCAGATCCACAGGAAGGAGATTTAGCTTCACTTGTGTTGAAGGACATGATGAGGTAGTAGTTGACATCGAAACTCTAGCTCCCTATATAAGCCCAACCAAGACCTTCAGAACTTTCCAAATTATATCCATCTCCCGCATAAAATTGAAAGGCAAAATAAATCTATTAACTTTATCCAAATTACATTACAATATTTGTATCATTTACTCTCATAATTATTAAATTTATTAATTTTTTAATCATGGTGAATCTTGTAGTTATTTGATTTGTTTTGATATGAACACAATAGAAATTTTAATTGATTCCTTTTATATTACACTCATTTGTATTCACATATCTACACCTTTACATTTATGGCACTTCTTTCCTATGTATTTACATATCTAACAGTTAAACTTTAATCTTTACGTAGAGCCGCCTTATCTTTGCATGTAAAGGTGAATTTTATTTTTTAAAAGTTAAAATAATGCTATTTTTGATGTGATATGCAAATTTTGGTGGCATAAGTGTAAAAAGTAAATTTTAGGTGTTGTAGATATAAATAAATTTCTCCATAGATGATTAGTAAGATGAGCTCAAATAAATTTGAACAAAAATTTGCTGCTGCTGCTGCTGCTGCTAATAATATGATAACTATATGGTTATGATAACTAATTTGTATATCTTTTAACAAAAATTTGCTGCTGCTGATAATAATATGATAACTATATGGTTATGATAACTAATTTGTATATCTTTTGTAGCAATATGTTGGGATCAATGGTTCCCTGAGGCTGCAAGGGCTATGGTTCTGCAAGGTGCTGAGATACTCTTTTACCCGACTGCTATAGGATCTGAACCTCAAGATTCTGAACTCGATTCTAGAGAACACTGGAAGCGCGTTATGTGCGGCCATGCCGGAGCGAACTTGGTAACTTCTTAACTTTTCTTCTTCCATCGAAACCCAGATCATGAACCCCAATATTAGGTCTGACTCACTTTTTCCTATAATGCCGTATGTTTCCAGGTTCCTCTTGTGGCCTCTAATAGAATAGGAAAGGAAACAATTGAAACAGAACATGGTGATAGCACAATAAGATTCTATGGAAATTCATTTATAGCAGGTTTCTTTTTTTTTTATTTTTTTGGCTTTATAATTCCTTTTTTTTCATTCTGTAATATTCATGGAAAATTGTTGGTTATTTTTGAAATTAAAATGGAAATCAGGACCGACTGGGGAAATTCTGGCTGTTGCGAATGATGAAGATGAAGCTGTTTTAACAGCTGAGCTCAACCTGGATAAGATCAAGTCCCAGAGGCATAGCTGGGGGGTTTTCAGGGACCGGCGCCCAGATTTATATGAGGTTCTCCTAACGTTAGATGGAACCAGAAAATCATCATCAGGTTGAAGTTCCTTAATTTCAATATATATACACATTTTAAGCACGAGAACGGTTTTGAGAAGAATTTTGGAGTAGTTTATATTGTTCCTTGTATAAAATCCAAGGGTAAGGAGGCAACATTTTTTTAGGAAGATTTACATGAATGCCATTCTTATTTGTTTACATATCTAAGGCATAAACCTCAATTTTAAAAGGTTCATTTCATATTTTAAAAATTAAAATGATGGTGTGCTTGATGTTTATATATGAGCTTTCCTACTATCTAGCATGGCGTGCTAATCTTTATTTTGCAGGTTGAGTATTTTCTTTTATATATTTTTCATGTATATTTTTAGAGTGTATGATCAAGCCTGCAATAGAAATAAGATACTGGCACGAATCCCGAATGTGCCTTGCACATTAATTTTAGATCTCTTTGTTGTATAGATTTAGATATGCGGAGCCTCACCATAAAATGCTGTTGATTTAGCAGCACTTGGCATGTTCTTATTCTTTTATTATTGGGTGCTTTGTTTTTCTTATGTAGTGTGTTGTTTTTTTTCACTTTATTTTTTATTTCTCTTTTTTTGCTTGGGCTTACGCTTTATAACTAGGGCTCTTGGGATAAAACTCTTTTTTATAAGATCTTTAGATGAACTTGCATTACATGACGACCCAAATCATATTTAATAAGGTATCTATGCTTACGGACTTCGATAATTTGCATCATATGTGTGTTTAGGTGTTAGAGGCTTTAATGACTTATTCGAGGTTATATGTTATTTGTATGGTAGTTTGGCTTTGTGAGCCAAGCTCTTTTTCTTTCCACTCTATAGGCACCTATATCACACTCATGATGGGTGTAAACCCACCTACCACTCTTTTACATTTTTCTAGATACTTGCCCAAGTTTGTGTGTTTTGTGTAATCTTCCTAACCATCTTTGTACTTCTCCATCAAATCTCTCAATAATGAATAGCTTCCATGGTAGAAAAGTATGACACTTGTGCATTGCCTTATTCTTAAAAGTAAGAATCAATATCCTCTTTCTCTACTCATCAGACATCTTTTTAGTATTTGAAATTTTATTAAAAAATTCTTATTTTAACATATATTTTTCACATTTTTAAATATTTAATATATTATAAATATCACTAAGAATTTTTAACATCTCAACTTAATCTCTTACTCTCTAGGGGCCACCTTTTATTTATTTATTTATTTTCATATTATTATTCCACCAATAAATATTTTTCTTTATAAGAATTTTATTTTGAGTATTAACTTTTAAAATCAATAAAACTTAAACTTCAACATCTATTTTTCTAATGCGACAACTAAAAATTGTTATTACTTATAATATCAATATCATTAAACTCAAATCATATTTTCGCTCATACATATATCTTTCATTCACTTTAATGTCCAATATATCATAAAAATTACTAAAAAATTTTAACATCACTAATTACTCTCTTCTTATAAACCACCTTTTATTTAAGTCATAATGCCAATTGAAGTGAAATTATTTAAAGAAAATTTAATTCTTCAAAATTACTTAAAATTAATTGTTAATGATCAATTGAGCCACCAAAAAAAAAAATGAAGATTAAGTCGGGTATAATTTAAAATTAGCAAAACAAGCAAGTTGAACCAGTACATGTTAGATCTCCGTTGCCCCTACATGTGCCTGCAAATGTGCACACATAGGCTCTCCAGAAAGCAGCAAACTTGGGATGTACTGCTCTAGCAGTGATGCAGGCTCTTCCAAATCATTGAATTTATCTGTACCGAAACATAAATTTAAGCATCAAAATGGATGATTATGATAAAAAATCATAATATGAATGATGAGAAATAAGAACAAACTCACCAAAAGTCCTTCAGAGATGTCTTCCCAGCTTTTACATCCATGCCCACAAAGCTCCCCTCCAAATGCTGGCTTGTAAAGTTTAGGCCACAATGATGATCTTGCTTGTCGCATGAAAAGGAAAATTTACATAAAATACCAATCAATTCTTATGCATTTACATTTCTAACACCTAAATTTCAGCGTTTACATACAAGCACTTTTAAAAGTTAAAAGTTGTGGTTAAAAGGTATTTTTAACATAATAAGAAAGTTTTGGGTGGTCTAAATGTTAAAAAAGTAGTGATTATATGTTAGACATGTAAATACATAAGAATTAGGTGGCATGAATGTAAATGCCCCAAAAGCAAAACATGTAGTTCTGAGCAATGAATTAGCAGAATGATTGTACAGAGCTGAATTTCACTTAAGCAAAAAAAACATACTTTCTTTGATCAGAGCACATAAGAACAGCATGATCAGTACTGATCTTAAATACTCTAAAGAGAACTGCAGTGAGCTCCGCAGGTTCATGAGAATCCAAAACAAGCGGGCCAAAAGTCCCTATGCTTCCTGAAACTGAAGAATCCACTTGATCGTTGCCGGCCATCTGCACATTGTCGAGTTTCCACTCATGGTGCACAAGCTGAGCCATTTCGAGCTATAGAAGCTCATATTCTACCTCTATATCAACCTGTTCGTCATGGTTGAGAAAGAAGAGCTTCTAAGAATCAGGAAGTACTGCGAGAAAACTTGAATAGGTTATAGATAGCATTGTAGAGCACTGGTTCAATTTGGATTTATTGGCAATTGGCTTCAATGAAGAGCTCATTGAACAGACAAATTGATATAGTTTTCAAACAATATCACAATAAAGGATTGTTTGGTTGCAAGATTTGCCCTAAACCTTTCCAAAAAATAGTCTTAAAATCTTTAATTATATTACCTTCTTAAATCTCATTTTCTCTATTTTTAAGGCAAAATATTTATTTTACTAAATGCTAGTAAGAGGGTAAGTTGAGGGGCACCACTCACCTTATGCGTCTCATTCTTCCTAAATCTTGAAACTATATGCCAAACAAAATATAAACTGAATCAAACATCTATCATGTAAAATTGATTAACAGTGTTGGGAAGAACAAAAGAAGCAGACAAACCATTGAACCGGTTTTGAGGTGGCTGGAAATGGAAAGAAGCTCTGTACTGTTTGCTTTCGATAGACAAAGGGTCTTCAGAATCTGGATTTAATACAAGTCCCGAGAAGAGTTGCTCCAGTCGGTACAGAACCACAGCAAGATGGCGGCGAGCTATCATCACCAATCTATAGACTTGTGCTCATTCGAAGGTAAGATCACATCTGCCATAAGGAGAAGGGATTATATATATATAGTATTTGTAACCTTAAGAGCATGTGCTGTTTTCAAGAAATCAGAAAGCCACCGCTCTTGCCTCTGAGGACGTAGGCAAATTGCCGAACCTCTTTAAATCCATGTGTTCTTTCTTGTGTTCATTGATTCTGTCGTTTTTTAACCCTAGTTTATCAAAAAGCTTGTACTTACCAGATCTTAAAATCCTCATAAAATGAGGGCAAATTTTAGTAGTATATTAACAAACTATCTACTGTCTTTTGAAATTTTGACCCATAAGAAACGCAAAACTTCATAATAGCTGAGCAGGAATTTTCAAAGCCCAAACTAACACCAAGCAAACAGTAAGACATGCACGTCTAAAACACAATTTGCACAATCTGAATATCTTACATTACCTCAAGTGCACAACATCACAACTTGCCATCCATTCCAAGCGAATGTAATACAGGATACTTCCACAATCATGAATGTGATTCTCACCTGTCCAACACATAGGGTAGTTAACGATTCGATTTTGAGCTAAGCTGGGATAATCTCAAAATCAGCTTGAATAGATTTAGTGCGGCTCAAAATCAGCTCGCTATCGAGCTCAATCCGGCTCGAAATCAAAATGAGCTTGGATCAAATTTAGTTATTTGGATCCATGCTCAACTTGACTCAAATTGACTTATTCGGATCCATTTCAGCTTGAAATCGGCTCGTGCCTTATTATATTCAACTTTACTTGGTATTATATATATAATTTATAAAAATAAAAAAAAAAATACTATAAACCGATCTCGAATTGTTTCAATCTGATCCATGTATGGCTCAAAATCGGCTCAAAAAAATTCGATTCAAAATTTCGACTCATAGCTTAACTCGTTTATTTTGATGCAATCTCAATCCGAGCCAAAATTTAAATAGGTTTTTGAGCGATCAATCAACTTCGAGCTAAATTCACAGCCCTACCAGCACATTTGCATTTTTTTCTATGCACCAAAAAAAAAAAAAAAAACTGATTAGCACTGCATGTTCTCCATAACAAAACAAAACAAAAAAAACAAAAGACTTGCAAAAGCTGCGCAACATAAAACATTGTTGCCCATTTGGTAACATAATAGCAATTCAAAGACGTATTCTCTTCGAAAATGGCAAAAATACTGGTTTGAAGAAATAATTCAATGATATACGTGCAATTTCCATAAGAGCAATGTGAGAATTTGATAAACAAGCACAGAAGAATAGACTCAACATCCAACTACTAGAAAGAAAAACTACTCCTTGGAAATGATGCAATTATGCACAAAGATCCGGTCAACAATCATATTCAGTTAGGAGGCCTGAGCAGAGAGCCCCACGGCCATCCATGATGCAGTTGCCTAACATTATAACTTCTCTCTTTCTCTCTCCTAGGCAGGGTATCATCTTCTTTTTTTTTTCTAGAGGGAATGCAGAGGCATAAATTTGCTGCAGTATAGCAATTTCACCTCTTTTTTAACATACACAGTAGATCACGAACAGTACGATGGGAAACCATAATAGTCATAGCCATCCAGTTGCGTTGAAAACAATAGAACTCAATTATACATGTGTCCCCAACACCTTGGAACTCGATTGGGAAAAAAAAAGAGAAATTTCAATTGAGAAAAAGAAGAACAAAACAAAAATTTAAACGTGAAATGGCTGTTTTTTGCCAGTAGCCAATGACACTTATCCATTTATTTGCGAGCTTATTTGAGTGCAGCATTAATTTAATAATAAAAAATGGCTGTCACAATAACCCTAAACCCTCAACCCTAATATTTGTCATTGCCGGATTCCAAATCCCTTATATAGAAAATAGAGGGTTGTGTCAAGTACTCAACAGAAAACCTAAAATTTTTCTCGAAAAAACTATGAAATGAATCTTTTAAATAATTATGTCAATGTTAGGGCGTCCTTTGGAAGCGACATGTTGTACGACCAAGATACAATGACAAGTGTGCAAGAGTTGTTGCACTAGTGTTCGAATGTATTGTTAAAATAAAGGTTCCCATATTATAAAAAAAAAAAAAAACTGATTAGCACTGCATGTTCTCCATAACAAAACAAAACAAAAAAAACAAAAGACTTGCAAAAGCTGCGCAACATAAAACATTGTTGCCCATTTGGTAACATAATAGCAATTCAAAGACGTATTCTCTTCGAAAATGGCAAAAATACTGGTTTGAAGAAATAATTCAATGATATACGTGCAATTTCCATAAGAGCAATGTGAGAATTTGATAAACAAGCACAGAAGAATAGACTCAACATCCAACTACTAGAAAGAAAAACTACTCCTTGGAAATGATGCAATTATGCACAAAGAACCGGTCAACAATCATATTCAGTTAGGAGGCCTGAGCAGAGAGCCCCACGGCCATCCATGATGCAGTTGCCTAACATTATAACTTCTCTCTTTCTCTCTCCTAGGCAGGGTATCATCTTCTTTTTTTTTTCTAGAGGGAATGCAGAGGCATAAATTTGCTGCAGTATAGCAATTTCACCTCTTTTTTAACATACACAGTAGATCACGAACAGTACGATGGGAAACCATAATAGTCATAGCCATCCAGTTGCGTTGAAAACGATAGAACTCAATTATACATGTGTCCCCAACACCTTGGAACTCGATTGGGAAAAAAAAAGAGAAATTTCAATTGAGAAAAAGAAGAACAAAACAAAAATTTAAACGTGAAATGGCTGTTTTTTGCCAGTAGCCAATGACACTTATCCATTTATTTGCGAGCTTATTTGAGTGCAGCATTAATTTAATAATAAAAAATGGCTGTCACAATAACCCTAAACCCTCAACCCTAATATTTGTCATTGCCGGATTCCAAATCCCTTATATAGAAAATAGAGGGTTGTGTCAAGTACTCAACAGAAAACCTAAAATTTTTCTCGAAAAAACTATGAAATGAATCTTTTAAATAATTATGTCAATGTTAGGGTGTCCTTTGGAAGCGACATGTTGTACGACCTAGATACAATGACAAGTGTGCAAGAGTTGTTGCACTAGTGTTCGAATGTATTGTTAAAATAAAGGTTCCCATATTATGAAAGGATACAACAACAAAGCCTTAATCCCACTACGTGGCATCGGCTACATGAATCCTTTTTCTACATTGCGTCCTATTTAGTGTCATATTTTCATTTAGTTCTAGTAAATTAAGATCATTTTTTATACAATAAGCCCAAGTCTTCCTAGATCTACCTCTGCCTTTCTTAACACAAGTCGAATCTAAAACATCTACTCTCCTAATCAGATCATCAGATGGCGACGTTTAAGGTGACCAAACCATCTAAGACGACTTTCTCAAATTTTGTCTGTCACAAGAGCTACACCAACCCTATCACGGATATATTCATTTTGCATTTTGTCTCTAAATGTAAAGCCACTCATCCACCTAATCATTCTCATCTCGACAGCACTTAACTTATTATTATGCCTCTCTTTTAAAGGCCAACATTTAGCTCCATAGAGCATTGCAGGTCTCACCACTGTCTTATAAAATTTTCCTTTCAGTCTAAGCGGTACTTTTCTATCACACAAAAGGTCCGAAGCATTCCTCCATATTATTAAAATTACATTCCATGTATTCAGTTTTAGTTCTACTTAAATGAAGGCCTTTAGACTTCAAAGTAGACCTCCATAATTCAAGTTTTTCTTGGGCTTTTTCTCTCATTTTATCCACGAGAAAGATATCATTAGCAAAGAGCAGACACCAATGTGCATTCTCCTGTAGATGTGCAGTAAAACCATCCATAACTAATACACCAATGTGCATTCTCCTGTAGATGTGCAGTAAGACCATCCATAACTAAAGCAAAAAGATACGGGCTTAAAGCCGATCCCTGATGTAATCCAACAGAAATATGAAAATATTTGGTCAGTCCTCCTCCACTTTGATGACTTGAACACAAGTGACAGCTCTAATATACATATCTTTAATGACTTGAATATAAGTCATATCAACACCTTTCTTCTCAAGAACTCTCCAAAGGATATCTCTTGGAACCTTATCGTCAGCTTTTTCTAAATTAATAAAAATCAAATGTAGATTCTTCTTATTATCTCTGAACTTCTCCATCAAACCTCTCAATAAATGTATAGCTTCCATAGTAGACCTGCCCGAGAAATCTTTGTAATGTGTCTTAACCTATGTTCAATTACCCTTTCCCATAGTTTTAAAGTATGACACATCCACTTAATTCCTCTATAATTCGCCAAGAAACACCCAAATCTCCTAAATATTTCCACACTTCAATTGGGATATCATCAGGTCCTACAGACTTTCCACCCTTGGTTTTCTTTAAACCCTCATCAACTTCTTTTTTACTAATGCGACGATAACATTCTAATAAATAACATAATAATAATAACAATAATAATAATAATAATAATTTATTAAGGGCCAACCAACAAAACAATCATTGCCCAACCAGTAACATTCTAGCATATCAGTAACATATATTATTATGTGCAAGTGAAATAAAATCAGTAAATGAAAAAAAAAACCCTAACCCAACCAGCCTCCCCTTCCCCTTTCGAAAGCTTTCGGGTTCGACCCCCTCTCGCTCTTCTGAGTTTTCTCTGTCTCCTCTCCAAATCGCGAAATGCTTTCGACTGCAAGAGTTTAGGGGTTGTCATTTGAGTTCATTTTCTAATCTCTACTTCTATTTTTCCTCAGCGAGTCAGCATTGGCTCGATTGCTCGGTATTCTTGCTTGGTTGCTTGTTTGGCTACCGAGGTGTTATCTTTGAGTATCTTCTCTCTAATATTTCATATTTATCTTCAGCTTCGCCTCCGGTTCGCCTCTTAGCTTAAATTTTCTTAAATTTGGTTTAGATTTATTTAGATTTTTTTAATGAATCCTAGTTTTTGAAGTTTTTTGGAAGTGAAATCTCTCGCCAATTTAAAGCCAGTGAAATCTCGCCAATTTCAAGCCAAACACAAACATGAATCAATTATTAGAGCCGAACATGAATACACTATTCACGAGCCAATTTCGAATGAGCTGAAAATGAGTCAAGCCTGAGCTGGCTCAAAAGCTCGGCTTGTTTAGAGCCCTACATGCAACAACTTAAAAGAAAAACAACACTTTGGAAATTGTGTAAATATGAACAATATATTTACTGTTTCGAAACTGAGTAGTCGCCCAATCACAATTCACATAGAATAAACTTCAACAGGAAGCCTCATTAAAAATAATAACAAAAAAATGATATGTTAATACATAAGAACTGCATGCATGTAAATTTCTCTAAAAATAGAGGGGTTGCATTGAATCGTTTACCGAAAGAGAGGATCCCCAGCTATCCATGAAGCATTTGCCTAACATCAGATCTCTCTCTCTCTCTTTCACTCTGTATATACATATATATGGATGATGATGAGTAACCCGATAACAATTCACAACCAACCAAATCTAATTAGGAGGCCTCCCCAACAATAATGACATAAATTTTGATAT